TAAAACTTCTGGTGCAACATATGGTATTACTCCAAATATATCATTTTTGTTTGATGCAGATGTTTGACTAGCTGGGCATGATAATCCTAAATCTGTAATATATGAAGTATGTGCCTCATTTTGAAGAATATTACCACTATGAAGATCACGATGAATAATTTCTTTTTCATGAATAATTTTTAAACCATTAATAATAAAACAAAGGATATTAAGTTTATCTTTCCATTTTAAATTTTTAAAATTTTTTGCTAAATAATTTTGAAGGCTTCCATCTTTTTTATAATCCATTACAAATATATATTCTTTTGTAATTGGATCTTTTGTTAATCCATAAATATGAATTATATATAGATTTGGAGGAATTGCTACATAATTTTTGAACTAAAATAACAATAAATATTTAATTACAATGATAATAATCAATAGTGTTTTAAAAAATCTGAAACCAGTATTAATAAAATAATTTACCTCATTGAGAAATTCATCAGAAATATTTGATGAATTATGTAATTTTTTTAATGCTACAGTCCTATCATCATCAGCAACAGATTTATCAGTATGTTTACAACCATTTAACCAAGTAGCTTTGTATATAGTTGCAAACCCACCTTCACCTATTTTTTCAATATTTGCTAAATTATTATAAGGAATCCATTGAAAATAATTACGATTATCATTTTTTGTTGCTTTAAATTGTGTATTTTTAATCAACTCATCTAATGTTTCATTGCCACTGGTCCATCCTTCAGTTGATCACATGATTGACACCATAACCAATCAGTATTATATCTATAGCAGGTTGTACATTCATTATTCCCTTCTCCTCATTTCTTTGAATATTCATCATTTTGAAAACTTCCATCTTCCATGCAATGCATTACAAATATATATTCTTTCGTAATTGGATCTTGTGCTAACCCATAAATATAAATTTTATCATGAAACTTCTTATAATTTTTGAACTAAAATAACAAATAGGATATTAATTACAACAATAATATTTTAAAAAATCTGAAACTAGTATTATAATTTACCTCATTAAGAAATTCATCAAAGATATTCTGTGGGTTGTGTGGTTTTTTTAATACCACAGACATATCTTTGCTAGTTCTTTTGTTATTAGTATAATTTGCACTTTTATAACCATTTAACCAAGTAGCTTTGTATATAGTTGCAAACCTACTTTCATCTACCATTTCAATATTTGTTAAATCATTATAAGGAATCCATTGAAGATAATCATTGTAATGATACTTGGTTGATTTAAGCTGTGTACTTTTAATCAACTCATCTAATGTTTCATTGCCACTTGTCCATCCTTCAGTTAATAGCTTTGGATCACATGATTGACACCATGAATAATCAGTATTATATCTATTGCAGGTTGGACATTCTCCATAATGTTTTTTTCTAATATATGGGTCTTCATAACCTTTATGACTTGGATATTCCATTACAAAAATATATTCTTTTGTAGTTGGATCTTGTGTTAATCCATGAACATTAATTATAAATGGTTTATCATAAAATGCAGCATAAATTTTGAACTAAAAAAAATATATATATTGAATTTCAGTATAATATTTTAAAAATCTGAAACTAGTATTATAATTTACCTCATTAAGAAACTCTTCAGAAATATTCTGTGAATTATGTGGTTTTTTTAATGCCACAGTCATATCTTTGCTAATTCTATTAATTCCACCAGCATATTTATCACCATTTAACCAAGTAGCTTTGAATATAGTTGCAAAGCCAACTTCACCTACCTTTTCAATATTTGTTAAATCATTATAAGGAATCCATTGAAGATAACCATAATTACCATAATGAGTACCATAACGAGTTGCTTTAAGTTGTGTACTTTTAATCAACTCATCTAATGTTTTATTGCCACTAGTCCATCCCTCAGTTAATAGCTTTGGACCACATGATTGACACCATGCTCTATTAGTGTTATATTTATTGCATGTTGGACATTCCCCATAATGTTTTTTTCTAATATATGGGTCTTCATCATCATAATGTTTATTTTCATTTTTAGTGTTTTTCATTTTTTATAATTGTCCAAAAAAAATTTTTTTTTATCCAAACTTTTTTTTAGCCACAACTGTATGTCACACAAATACAAAGCAATATACTAATACACTCTAACCTTGTCATAACAAAAGTGTGGGACCGACCACCTAAATTCGTTGTCATAATTGTAACAAAAGTTCGTCGAGACGATCAGGATCGACAAAAAATTTTTTTACTTAAAAATATTGACATAAATATGACAATAACAAATTAATCGCACGTATTGCACGAAATAAACGAACAAGTATCACAAATGTTTATGGTTTACATCATTTTGGTAATTTACAGAAAAAGAGTTTTAAATTTCATTGAATTGAGAAAAGCAGCAAAATTGTTTGCAAATAAATTTGCGTGTGAATCATCTGCATGAAAAATAATCAAAGGAAATGAAGAAATTGTTGTTCAAGGAGACGTTTCTGATGATTTATATAGATTCATACTGGATATGTGGTCGAGTTCGAATCAAATCAAAGTACAATTCGAATTCGAATCAAAATTAGGTTATTTGATTCGGTTCGAATTGAATTGATTTGTTCGCCTTAATTTGCGGAAATTGTTGTTACAAATTGGAAGAAATTGTATTATTGTAACCATTAAATAAATAAATTGATTTTGAACTGAATAAATCGTAATATTAAGTATGAAAAATGGGAACTGGGTTTAAATCGATTATACCCAAACCGGTTCCCAACAATATTTTTTTTAAAAAATATAAAAATTTATTTATGTATTAAGTTTTTAATTATCATCAATTTCTGCTTGTCCTTTGATTAAATTCAATATATTTTTATCAATCTCAATTTATTATCATTCAATCGTGATTTGTCTGATTGTCGTTCAAAGTATAATTTGACTTTAAGTAAATATCATTTTTGTTCGCTGTGATCACGCTCACTTTCCATAAAAATTCTTCTAAATTTCTAATTTTGGTAAAGATCTAAAATTTATGTCACTACGGACATCACAATGAATTTAATTCTAATGGGCTGGTCAAAATTTTCGGTGACCTTTTAGGCCTAAAATAAAAAAAAAATATAAATTAAATAAAAACACAATGCAACAATCATCAAGATCTACCAACTGTAATACCATTATGTTGGATGACATTGATATGGAACTGGTAAGAAGAAAGTATTTTGGAACTGCTAAAAATAACAAAAGTAGCGGTGGTAATAATGATGATAACATGACAGGACATTCAGAAATGATGGCATCTTGTACTAGGCTTTATGATCAGCTAGATAAAATATCAGATTTACTTTGTGATTTCACTGAATTATCTAAAACATATCTTAAAAAGGATTCAAAAAAGTTGATAGATTTACAAAATAAATGGTCAAAAAATATTTTAAAAATGGAAAACTTGGTTAAGCATTTGAAAATTTTAGGTCATGATTATGCTATACCACAAGAAATAATAGATTTTAAATTTGAAGATCTGTTATCTTCCTCCTATGCTTTTTCATCATTTACACCTAGAATTTTTGATAATCACAAAAATTTAATTGCTAAAGAATCAATAAAAATTCAAGATCAAATTAAAAATAGTAATTCTAATAATAGCAGCAGCAGCAGCAGCAGCAGTAATAGTATAGCCAGTAGAAGTAATAATGCTACTTTTAGCGGTAGTAATTGTGATTCTGGTTTAAACAGCACCAAACTTGATGATATCTTTGCTAATTTTTCTCCATTTAATAATCATAGTAAAAAAGAAAAAAAGAAAAATATTAGCAATATCAATAACAATAATCTTTTTATTACTGATGCCTCATCACAAATCACGATTGCCACTGACACCACCAGCACTGCAACCAATAATAATAATAATAATAGACTAATTGCATCATTTGACAACAACATCGACTATTCTTCTTCTCAACCAATTGATGCTTTACCATATTTAAATCTCAATACAAATACAAACACAAACACAAATACAAATACAGTTGCACCAACATCACAATCACAAAATCAACAAAATCAAATTGTCCCAATTAAGAGACAAATATATGATTGTTATAATAGATCAATTAATAGTAGTAATAATAACAATAATAAGAAAAAGAAAGCATGGAAAGAAGTAAAAACTAACTATGTTATAGTATTGGATAGTGATGATGAAAAACCACAAGGAGTTAACAAATGTGATGATGATTTTGTTGACGGCATTATGATAGGTACAGAATCTAATCCACTTGTTATAACTGATTCTTGTGAGGAATCAGGCAGAGAATTAATAGAAGAAGAAGAAGAAGAAGAAGAAATAGTTGTTTTGAGTTCATCATTGCCAATTACTAAAAATAAAATTGCTACTCCTACTAATCTAACTGCTGCAACCAATGTAACTGCTGTCACTAATCTAATTACAACAACAGCAACAACCACTGCTATTACTACTACTACTACTACTACTAGTAGTAGTACTAATATACCTAACAAAAATAACGATAACATTAAAAAAAATATTGATTATATTGAATCTGATGTGATTATTTTTGAAGAGAATGGTGTTAATGGTAATAATAATAATAATAATATGATTATCCTTGATGACAGAGGAAATGATGATGATGATGGTGATGGTGATGATAGTCAAGATTTTATTAAATATGACCCATTTGATCAATTCATTACAGATTCATTAGAAGGACAATCCTATTATAATTTCAATAACATCAGTAACAATAACAATAACAGTAACAGCAGTAACGATAGCAATAACAATAATAGTTCAGCATATTTTCAATATTCATTAGATGACCTATCAGATATATTAAATACAGATGATGATAATAATAATAACAATGGTAACGGCAATAATAATAATTTTACATATCTATTTTCTGATGATGATGATGTCAAGGAATTTTTGAAGAATATAAAAAATACAATTGAAATGTATGATAATGAGTTTGATTATAGAATTATAAATGGGTTCCCATTAAATTTCAAAGAAAAAGGTAAAGAACCACAACCAATAGTTCCAGAAATTAACAATATTAATAGTAATGATTGTAAAAATAAAAAAGATTGCAGTGATAATGGTGGTATGGAATTGGAAGTTGAAATTGATACATCAAAATTGGAACCAATCGATAAACTTGGAAATTTGCAGTGTATAGATTTCCATCAAGGTAGTGGTGATGTTAATGAAATGGCAATTCATATTTCAAAGTTCAAAAATCATGAAGTGCCTAAACTTGCAATTGCTTACATTGCAAATCATGACCCAAAATATAATATGGCAGGTAATTTACAATTATTTGATGCTAGGAAAGGAACTGTATATTATTTACAAGGACATTATGATTATCATACAGAAACTACAAATGAAAAACTATGGAAATCTGTCACGGACGTGAAATTTTCCCAGGGAGGGAAATTTATTTACTCTTGTTCTACTGATAAAAAAGTTATTATCTGGTCATCAATAGGTAAAGAAGATCAAATTTGTACTCCCTTGGCAGCTGTAGAATGTGAAGACACTGTAAATCGCATTGTTGCTAAACATGACAAATCTAAGGCCACGTATCAATTTGCATCATGTGACAATTCAGGCAGCATCACATGTTTTAGTTTGAACGCAGATGAAGGCAATTCTTATAAGTTAGATAAAAATATTTTGCAAGTGAAAACAAAAACAACAAGTGCTCCACCTATTGTTGACATAATTTATGGTATTGACTATTTTGATCAGACCATCATTGCCGGTTTTGAAGGAGTTGAATCACAGAAAGATGGTTTTATAAGATTATGGGATATAGAAACAAAAAGAAAGTTAGTTGATTATAAGATAGGCAGTAACAATAGTGTGAGTTGCTTGGGAATGTCAACATCTGGATATCGGGTGGCATGTGGGGTGACATCAACTAGTGACCAGGTTAGGAGTGATGGGAATATACGTTTGATTGAATTAGAATCTAACGAAAAGAAAATATATCAAACCAATGAATATGATTCAAATGTTATTGCATTTTCACCAGATGATCAATATATTGCATTGGGAGGGGTGGGGAATAAAGTTTGGGTATTTGATACAAGATATGAAAACAAGCCACTTCGAATGCTTTCTCACACTACCCCAAATGATGGACTGATATATGAGGGAATCAATGGAATTCAATGGATTAATAGTAACATGATTTTAACTGGAGGCTCAGATGGTATTGTTAAGTTATGGAATATTAATAAATCAGATAATTCATCCACTTGTTTGAAATACGAATTCCCAGAACATGATAGCCCAATAACATGTATCAGAGCAAATGAAGATTTGAATTATTTGTCAGTTGGTGTGTCAACAGGACGTGTTTACTTATACTCTACTGATCAAGCTGTATTGAATAATAGGGACAATATTAAATTTTATTGCCGTAATGAATAGGAATTTGTCACTATAATTAATTAATGTGACTCTATAGATTGTTAGTTACATTTGCTTTAAAAAAATTCAGCAGCTGTTTTTAACATTTAATTAATTAATCCTCTCTAATAATAAATAACTCAACAATTTGGTAAAAATATTTCAAGTTATTTTTCTCCCTTGTTAATAATGTATCAATTGTTTATGCGTCGAATTCAAAAACAAAGGTTTGACCTACACTGTGATTGGTTTATTAGTATATATTTTTGTAAGATTTAAATTTTGTTTTCTATTTTTATCACTTTTAAATTTCACATTGCAAGTTTTCTGACAAGTTACTAATAGTTAATAACCACTTATTAACTGTTTCATTCCAAGTGAGAGTTATTAATCCAAAAGATCTATTTTACCAATCAGTCACCAGTGAGTGTATTAACATTAATATTATAAAATATTAATTATTATTATTATTATTATTATAGAAAAATTTGGTTTTGAAAATTTATCCGCTAAACCCCAAATCCGCTATACCGAGCCCGTTATACCGAGACTCGCTGTAGTATACAAAACGATGTTTTACAAATTTCATTTTCGTTTTATTCATTTTATTATTTTTTATTTTTATTTTTTAAAAAATAATATATTAAAAATAAAAATGAAATGTCAATGATAAAGCTATTACCATCTGAACTTTTAATTGAAATATTTAAATACATTGAAGAGGATTATAAAACATTATATTCTTGCATTCTTGTTAATAAACAATGGCATAGTATCAATATTTTAACTTTATGGAGAAATCCATTCTATTCTGAAAAAAGCACTAAAATATTAGTTAATTGTTTATTAGTAAAAGATAAGAACTTTTTGATGGAAAATGACATTGAATTAAAAGGATTTGAATTTTTGGGGAAACAACCATTATATAATTACGCCAGATTCACAACTAAATTAGATTTTAACGAAATTAGTAAAAATTCACAAAAAATATATGCTAGATTTACAACAGAATTAGACTTTCGCAAAATTAGCAAAAATTTACAAAAAATCATAGTTAGTCCAAATTATTATTTAGAAGAAATGTTATTAAATTTTATTTTAGATCATTCAACTGTCAGAAATTTTAAGGCCATTTATTCAAGAGATGAAAGGCTGATATATCATCATAGATTTGAAGATTGTTTTCGAAATCTTTATGAATTGGATTGTAATATTTATGGTAGTTCTAAACTTCTTGATAAATTAGCAATCACTTGTAGAAATATTCAAGTTTTAAAAATAGATTGTAATAAAGATGATTTTAATTTATGTTACGATAATGATGTGGCCTGCAGCCTAGCTCAACTAATTTTGGCACAAAATAAAATTAAACAATTGGTTATTAAAAATTCATACAATTCCCCTGTAAGTTTACCAGATGTTTTAAAAAAAGCAATTCTTATTCATTCAAAATCAATCATTAATTATGAGAGTTTTGGAAACAATAGTTTAGATTATTTATTATCAAAGTTTCAAAACTTGAAATCATTGTCATTATTTGATAATGGTCGTAAGTCAACTCAAGACAAATTAAAAAAAATAAAAAATATTTCACTCCCAAATCTTGAAACTTTGAATGTGGAAATTACTAGACAATTATTTCTACTTTGTTTGTCAGATTTTATCACGCTCAATGGAAATGGTCTTAAAGATCTGACAATAGGCGCTACACCAAAAGACAGGGGTTATTTAAGATTAATTATTAAATCGATTGGACAAAAATGTCCAAATTTAGAATTTCTATCAATATGTTACAGGAATCATCAAGAAGATAAATATTTAATGGAAATATTTAATAATTGCTTCAAATTAAAACATATCACATTTACTAATATCTTTGTGTACGATTATACATTGAATGGTGATAAAATATTGGCTGTTTTAAACCAATCATTACCAAAAAACTTGAATACATTAATTTTTAAAGTTAAGGTTGATATTTCTAAAGACGAGTCTTTAGATAGTTTGATGAAGAATTGGAGAGGTCCTAGACCATTTAAAATACTCAGTGTTCGTGGAAGTATTGATTTATTAAAAAAATATCAAGATTTAGGTTTTTTATTATAATTGATAGTATATTATTGTTGGCTATCAGGATCTGCATAAGATTAGTGCACTATTTTCAAGTGACAAATATAAAAAAATAAAATAAAAATTGCAGGCTCCCGTGTGGGTACTTCTTCTACTACTAATGCTACTTCTTCTACTAATGCTACTTCTCCTACTAATGCTACTTCTACTAATGCTATTTCACTATTAAAATTTTTAAAATCATGACTCAAGCTTCAAAACTGCTTCCCAAACTTTATTTATTATTGTTGTATGTGCAATCGAAATTATGTGAAATTGAAATCTAATTAAAATTTTGGTTTTGATATGAAATTCTGATTGGCTAATTTGCAATTCACGTTTTCACGCACAACCAGCATTCATTTGTTCCACAAAATCATAAAATGTTCCCACAAAAAATTTATTTAATTATTGAATGGTATTGAGGAAACTTATATAATAATAGATTAGAAAGTTTAGATAATACATCTGTATTAGGTGGAGATGAAGAAGAGGATGAAAATACTATATATAATGAAGATAATATTAAATTGGAGGGTCTGAAGAATTAATTTTGAAAGGTGATGTAAATCTTGATCAATCTTTAAAAGACAATGTTGACATTTAAACTGTAGATCTTGAAGATTGATAATGATATTCATGACCACAAATTAATATGCAATTATCATCATTGTAGTTCATCTGCTATTCACAATTTTCGTAATCACAGCAGGAATCGAAACTGGGCAAATAATTGGTAACAGAATCATTACTTTTCTTTTTAGACTTATTTCTGTAGAGGAATTTTTTTGAAGAAGGGCTATACTTTGATATAGCATATCAAAAAAGCCTTTTAAACGAAGGATCTCTCTTTCTTTGATCATTTTTATTTATTTGATCATAAAAAAATCAGAAAATTGTAAAAATTAATCATTTATTAATAATAATAAAATTAATTTATTTGATTAATATTTAATCACCTTTAATATGTTGACTTGATGGTCTAGTAATCTTTTCTAATTCTGTTTTTAATTCTATAATTTGATTTTGTAAACAAAAATTAGTATTTGCTTCCATTTCAATTGGTTTTCTCATTTATATGTTGCATCTTCAGGTTTTCTTTTATATCTATTATATCTATCACATGCTATATAAGAATTATAGCATTTATAACATATTCTTTTGCCTATATTTAATCATAACCCACTAGTTCAGTTTTTTCTTTTCCTTGTTCTGAAATATTTCGCCACTTAGAGTCATCTTTTTCTATTTTGCAAACAGAACAAAAACCAACAGGCAATTTTAGTAAATGACTTGCAATCAAGAAATAAAAATTGTTACTTCGAATGGAGGTGTTATTTAGTGCTTCATAAGTGTAACCCATAGTCTATTCTAAAACAATTGAAAAATGATCAACATAATATAAATAATATAAAAGGAATGTCCATATAGATGTTCCAATGCGCACGTAATTTTTGAAATCATGCGCATGTAATTTTTTTTGTACATAGTAATAAATGTAACACAAAAAAAATTAAATTTTTTTTAGAAAATTTTGGTCACAATTACTACATTATAAACAACATACTGGCTTGTTTGACAATTCTTTAGCATGGTCAACTATAGATGAAGCAGATTTGGTAACATGGTGGAAAGGGAATTTTTCATTAGTTGCCCCTGAACTGACTAATCTTGCTGTAGAAATTCTTTCAATCCTACATCTTCAGCAGCACCTGAAAGAAATTGGTCTGCATTCTCATATATACATGATAAAAAAAGAAATAGACTAACATCTGGTATGGTTTTCAAATTAGTGTTTATTTATTTTAATTATAATTACAAAAACCCAAAAAATCCAAATAAATTAAAAGATAATGTCAATGGAAACACTATGATACTGGTAATGATAATGAGGAACAGGAAGATGATGGTATTGAAGTGAAAATGATGATAGTGATGTATATACATCTGAATCAGTGACTAATATTAGTGATTAAAATCTGTTTTGTTTTTTTTAATAATAATAAAATTTTTTTTAAAAAAATAAAAAGATTGGCAGATGCAGTGCACATTAAGTTTGAAATTTTCATGCAATTTCCCATCCCTAGGCATGAACAATTTAATTGTCATTTTCGTTTTGATCAAAAAAAAACATCTATTAATTAGGTTGATATCCAAATATATATTGCTTGTAACCAATTTATAATTAGTTATAAGTAATTATTAAATGATTATTGAATCTTAACTAATTATTAATGGATCTAAACATTAATTGAATCATTTAATCAGATCTTAACTAAACATCAAATAATTAATAATTAGACTTCTGCACATAATAATTTCTAACATTCTCATGTGATGCTCTGTTATTATAAACTCCATACATATGTGAAATTTAAAAAAAATAAAATAACTTTATTGATATTAATATGTATTTTTGCATTATTGCAAATATCCACACATGTTGTACAATATAGAGAACTAAGAAATAAGAATTCAATGATTCATTTTTATTTAATGATTTAATCAAGTAAAATACAAGAAAGATACAAGAATAATAATAGGTGATAATGCATCATCATGATGCTTTCTTTTTCCAACATTTATTATTCTTGGTAAATTTCATAAGTAATCCTTTCTTTTCTTAGATAAGTTTCTAGTGTCTGAGTATCATTTATTTTGAAAATATAAGGAGTAATTTTTTTACCTTGTTCTTTTTTTAGAATACTTCTAATGGTGCTATAATTCTTAGGTTCCATAGTAGATCTTATATAAATGAGTTTCATATCAACTATTTTTATATAGGAGTGGACGGTTAAATTATAATTACAATGCAATTGTGATAATAATGACTAAATTTTGAACCCTGAATCCTTGATAACACTAATGTTCACTTTGTCTTTTTTTGTTGCAGTATGCTCATATAATGTATTTTTGAATGTTTATTTAATATAAAAAATAATATAGCAAAGTTTTTGTTTCCTTTTAGCATAATGGGAAATTTGAAATGTTACACTAATTTTTTATATTGTGCAACGTAGCTTTACAATACACGGCAAACATTCTGGCAATAAAAAGTAAGTGATAAACTGGATTTGAATTGGATCTGAACTTGATCTCCAATTTAGAGAGGTAACAACTATATACTGGCGAAGTTTCAGAAGCAATGAGTTCTGTATAACGTTTCGTGTAACAACAAACTTCCACTATGCTTTTCCTTTTTTGTTGATCGAATACCCCAATCAATCAATCATTACAGTATTTGGAAATTCCAAATTTGGTTGGTATATTCCCTGACTGTATCACCCACCATACGTTTTAAAATGTATATACAAATACGCGTTCTTTTAAAAAAAATTTTTTTTTTTAATTATTACTATTTCTTTTTATAATATCTTAAATGGAAGTAGATTGTTCAACTCCTGTTCCTCGTCGTATTAAACGTAAAATAAGTGAGTCAGGTAGCGATAATAATGAAAGTGAAGAATTCAATTTTAATAGAGCTTGTAAAAAAGTTTCTCAGCCTGTTACTACTAAAAAAAAAAGCTCTGGTTAGAATTTTGTTTTTTCTTTGGAATTTATTATAAAAATTTATATATATATATTATGCGCTATTTGTCAATAATTATAATTATAATATCAATATATATACATAGTAAACACAAAAAGATTTTATGTTTTCATGGAAAATGAGGTAGAAGAACATGAAAAATTAGAACTTATAGGTGAAGATTCATTCAATGAAGGATGTCCTCCCGACGGCTATGATAACGTGAATTATACTATACCATGCCGTACACTTGATAATTTCATAATATTTGATGTAAACAATAAAAATCGAATTGCTAGTATTGAGGAAATTGATGATCTAGGGAAGGAATTGCATGCCGCGGGAATAGTAAAAGCAATATATGTCGATGAAGATGATGAAGAACTTATTGAAGATGAACTTAGTGAGGAATTAAGACTTCCTGATCAACAATTTAGAACCACTACTATATTCCATTTTCAAATCGAACAACTTGAAAATAGTAAAAGGTATTTATTTATTCTTTGAAAAAGAAAATCATACCTTATTTATCTAACAACAAAATTTAAAATTTATCTTCATTATATTTGTAAATCATAGCGAAATTTGGATACGAACGCAATTTGCCTTTTATAAATTGCTTAAACCAGCTGAAGAATATCTTAGAACTTTTGAACCTATCTATAAAAAAATTAGAGCCGCGAATTTAACAATTGAAACGCTGGCTTCTAATTCAGAAATCACTTATGAGAAATTCATTAAGTCTATAAAAGAATCAGCTTCTTCCTCTCCCTCTCCTTCCTCTTCTTCTAGTCAGATTGGTAATGAATTAATAAAAATTAAATTAACGGAAAAAGATATAATCAACAATATTGATTATATTGCTGAAGAAATTCAAGCTTGGATCTCTGAACAATCAGAATTTGGAATTCTTGAATGTCCGTTACTTGATACACTTTTTCAGATACTATCAAATGGTACATATACAAGAACAAAAAAAGTTGGTATGACTAATGCTGATAACATTAGAACAAAAAGAAATATTACCATAAAAAATCCAAATACAGCTGTTTTGACTAATACAAATCAAACATGCGTTACACCATTCATACAAAATCTTACAAAAGGTCTATTTAAACGAAAACTGATCACAATTAAACAAGTAGAAGATGCAGCAGATGTGACTTCTGATGATGAAATAGAATGTGATAATATTCCAATAGTGATGATCAAACCAATCACTCATTGTATTAAATGGGATTGTGAGGCTATTGTTAATAATAATAATAACAATAATAAACAAAAAAAACTTTACTATAATTCAGTTAGTATTAACGGTGAAATTATAAAAGTTGGTGATGTGGTATATGTTCGTAATGGTGAATCCGACGAACCACAATTTGTAAAAGTAATTTACATGTATGAGGATTCGAAAAAGAATAAGATGTTTCATTCAAGATTCTTCAATCATGGAAAAGAAACAATCCTTGATGAATTGGCTGGCGATCGTGAAATCTTTTTGTTGGACACTTGTGTTGATGGTAAACTTGATACTATCCTTGGTAAGGCATTTGTTGAATATCTAGAAGTTTGCAAAGATGAATCCTTTATCTTCGAAAGTAATCAATACCATTTTTATAGGTATGAGTAATAATATAATTTTTTATAATTAAATGAATAAAATAAATTGAATAATAATTTATCAATAAATAAATTTTTTGTTTTAATGATAAACCCTTTTAAAGGTATTGGTATGATAAAGAATATGCTGTTTTTGAAGATGTCAGACTACACGAAGATCCAAATATGAAATTCATCTATTGTGATGATAATGAAGAATGTCACTCATGTGAAAGCCATCTTACAAAAGAACACAGCGTGTATCCCAAACAGCTTTCACCTGATAAATCTTTTGATAAGGGCTTTATATATAAAGACTATGAATATCATCAATATGATTTCATTTACATTATACCAGAAGAAAAGGATTTACCTTATGTTATTGGTCAAATAATCGAAATTATCGAAGATACAGCGAGTGTTCAAGTAACAATCGATAATATATTTTCAACAGGAAGAAATGCAAATTCTAAATCTAGTCAAAAGAACAATACCACTAAAGTTTTATCTAATGATATTAAATTGATGGTACATATTCTTGGCCGTGTTGATGATTTGAGTAGTTCTTCATCGAAACCTAAATTTAAATCACCTGAAGAGGCTACATATAAAGATATTGTTCAATATCCTATGATAAAAAAAGATAGTCGTCATCTTTATTATACAAATAAAAAATTATTTATTAGTGATATTAACAATCTTGAGGGTGTTTGTTGGGTGCAACATTTAGACACTATTGAAGATCTTGACAAGTATAAAGAAGAAAATGATAGTTTTTATGTTGAAAAAATATCAAAAATCAACTCGCCAAAAAATTCAGATTTATTAAAATTGGAGCCTGAGTGTTTCTCCACATGTTCAATTTGTAAAGACAAACGTGAAAAACATAAACACAAATTGGAAAATTTCTTTGAATGTATAAATTCTCAAAAGCGAAAATTACGAGCAATGGATATCTTCTCAGGCTGTGGTGGAATAACAATTGGTATGGATATGACAGGAATTGTTAACACTAAATGGGCTATAGAATTTGCTCCTAGCGCAGCTTTAACTTTTAAGTAAGATATAATAAATATATTAATTTGATATAGTGATATTAATTAACTTTTAATTTAATGATTTATTTTGTTTATATTTCTAAATAATATACATATAGAAATAATAATCCTGATGCAATTGTTTATAACCAGTGTGCAAATTTATTACTTGAACGTACAATTGCTGAACATGTCAGGAATGAAAGGCCGGAGGAAATATATGATTTTCTGAAACAAAAAGTCCCTAGTATGCCAAGACCTGGTGAAGTTGATTTTATTTATTGTGGTCCACCTTGGTAAAGAAAAAATTTTATTTATTTATTTTGATAGGTTTAAATAAATCTAAATCTTTTGTTTTTTTTTTAAAAAAAATAATTAGTCAAGGATTTAGTGGTGTGAATCGTTATCAAAAAGCCGACGATATCAAAAATAGTCTTGTAGCAACAGCGTTGAGTTATGTTGATTTTTATAGGCCTGATTACTTTTTATTAGAGAATGTTCGTGGAATGCTTTCATTTCGTCTAGGAGGAGAGCAAGATGGTATTAAGATAAAAGGAGGAATCAAGATGGGCGTAATTAAATTCATATTAAGATCATTGACTGCATTGGGGTAAATATAATTATCAAATAAAATTTTAAATGCATCTCTGAATGACTTTACACTGATATTTAAAATATAATAAATAATATATATCTACATATTATATAATAATTAGATATCAAACCAGATTCGGTGTTCAACAGGCTGGCAATCATGGTATACCACAAAGTAGGCGTCGTTTATTTATATGGGGAGCAAAAAGAGATTGTTATCTACCTGATTTCCCACAAATATCAACATGTTTTGGAAAACAAGGATCCATAAATATTTTATTACCAAATGGTAAATCATTCACTTACAACAAACGAACAAATGGTCATGCACCACTTCCACCAATAACTGTAGGAGATGCTATCACTGATTTACCAAAATTTGAATTTGTAAATCCTAAATTTATTTATAAAGAAGACGATGATGATCAAGTTGCTCGTCCATTTAAACAAATAGCAGTTCCAGAAAAAGGTTGGGTCGGTGACATGAAGACAAAATATGTGTTTGAACCAGTATCTGAATATCAGAGACTATGTCGTAAAGATTCTGAATTTTTATATAATCATGTAACAAGAGCCTTTAATCCATTGACTGTGGAACGTATTGTTCGCATACCAATGTTTCCAGGTGCTGATCACTCTAGTAAGTTTGAAATCATATTAAATTTTCTTTTTTTGCACTAATAAAATATGAGAGAAAGGTCATTGGTCTCAATGTTAACAATAATAATTATAATAGACCTTCCAGAAAAACTTAAACCTTGGTGTCTGAGTGATCCTAATTCGGCTGCAAGTAGACATAATGGTTGGAAAGGGTTGTTTGGAAGATTGGATTTCGATGGACATTTTCTTACTGCCCTAACAGATATAAATCCAATGGGGAAGACAGGGGTAATTATAATTATATACATATAATTTACAATTTTAAGAAAAATTTATTAATTAGGGAATTTTTTTCTTATGAATTTTACAATAGACTGTGATACATCCGAATCAAAGGCGAATTATTACAGTTAGGGAATGTGCTAGAGCACAAGGGTTTCCTGATCAATTTATATTTTATAGTGACCGAGATGATACTAAAGATATGCATCGCCAAATTGGCAATGCAGTTCCACCACCGTTGGCTTTTGCACTTGGAAAATGTTTACTAGAATCAGTGTTTAAAAAGTCAGAATTAAATCAGTGCAATATTTATTAAAACAAATAAAAAACGACTAAAACTCGTAACACTGCCTTTTCCCTTGGAATTTTTTTGTTTCATTTGGTTATGTGTGAAAGAATGATTTACGTTTTTCTTATATTTGTCAAATAAAATGGGTAGCACGGGAAATAAAACATAGAAAGTATTCATTATTCGTATCATGCTCATATTCAGCAAGCTGAATGAATGTACAGAATGTACAGGAACAGATACGGATCCAAGTAAACTCAACTTTATTAAACACAATTTTTTGGGAAGGATGAAATGAAAAAACAAGGTGCTTCTTATGATTAATGAAATTATTTTTTTCTTGGTTAACAATTAAACCTTATTACACTAAATCAGGAAGATCCAAATCCTCCCTATAGCTAATTGTGGCTTCATAGAAAGTCATCATTGCTGCTGCCAGCTAGACATATCCTGCCACAGTTAAAATGGCAGCAGAAAGGTCAGTAAGTCCCCCTTATAAATGGATCAGATCTCTCCATAAGTGTTTGTGTGCAAAAAAATGTTCCTTGTGTTATGGGCAGCATTAACATCACAATTCCAATGTGTCAGACAGACTGATTTGCAGATTCTGATAAACCAGAATTTTCGATGCTTATCAAACCACCCATTACACAAAGAACAGACTGAGGAAGTACGGAATTCATCAATGTTCACCACCTTGCAGTGTCTAGAAAACTCTTGGTGAAATTCTTTTACAGGGCCTGGAGCATGCCCAAGTGATGTTGATGAGAATTTACTATCACCAATGCAACAACTGTACTGTTACCATTATTATTTGTTATTCTCTTGCACAGAATATCAGGTGCCTTCTGCTTATTAATAAAAGATTTCTATCACAACTGACACCAGTGACATTCACCATAAAAATCAAGTATTATATCAAGGTAAAACAGAGTGTAAGCAAGGTAAGAGCCATATCCATAGACATTAGTGACAGCAGAGGTTGGAATATCTAGGTTTTGTATTAGTATTAGGCGAAAGGTATCTAAGTAATATTATTCAATGATATCTTTTTTAACAGCAAATTAAATTAACAAAGTATAGCTCACCTTGAATAGCAGCTTGAAGATATTGATTTTTTTCCAACCACAACTTACATTTTTTACAAGCATGAACAAACCCTGCTAAGTTCCAGTACTCCTTGTTGGAATAACTCACAACTTTTTCATCTGAACTCACTGCTACAAACAGATCTTTTCTTCCAGGATCCAGTCCAAATAATTTGCATCCATTCAAATCAATATTTGATCCTTCTCCATCAACTTCCTCTTTATAATCATCAACTTTCTTCTGCAGACCAACTGATACTGCAAGACCATCAGTTTGTATGGAGTAAGCAAAGATTCGATTTTGGGTGGTGACTTTATTAATATTAAATGCTCCCATCCACCAAGTTTCCTTTTAAGCGCTGAATCTTTGACTCTTACTTTTTCAATTGATTTGTACATGTAATATAAAGCATCAGTATCAACTAATATGTACTTTTGTTTGAAAGAGTATTCAGGCAGAAGTGCGAAGAGATGAAGACCATGTTCTCGGTTATGCTTGGTAAAGTTGTGTAGGATTTTATGAAGACCTGAAAGATATGACCATCAGGATGCTTTTACAGATACATCATCAAGAGCTTGATTTTGGAATAGTGTCTGTTGCACTTTCAAGTGAATATATTGAATGCAGGTAGTAAGGTAAATTAGTTATTGCAGATGTGATGTAGAGAGTTTATCAAGGGAGGAAAGGGAGGTCTTGATTTTTCAAGTTGGTAATGAAATGGTTTATAATGAAGTTGATGTGTTTTTTGGGTAAAGGAAATTGATGAATCTTAAATAATTTATATTTTAACCATCTTTTAAGTCGATTGTTGAGATTTGTTGTTATGTGGTACTGACATATTGCCATGCAGTAGAGGAGAGAGGTTGTCCTAATGATTTTTTATTTGTCCAATTCATTCTTCAAGGTCAATATTGTGTGTAGAGCGTATCTCGAATATTATTTATGATAGGTTCATTGGTGGTGTCAGGGGTATTTTGGGATGTAATTACAGCTTGGAAACATTGCCTCATATATTTGAAAGCACCTTCACTTGTGTTAAAAGGAAATTGATTAGGGGTTGGAACCGTTGACCGTTTAACCGGTTAACCACCATTTATTAATTTTTTTATATATATTACAGTCAAACCTCGTCACAGCGGACCTCGCCACAACACATTTCTTGTTACAACGGATTTAAGTATTGTCCCCTTATTAATATTAATTAAAACGGTTGTCATAATAATAAATTTGTTCCACGGATTTTTGATGAGGTCTTTCTACCAAAATTGATAGAGGAAAACTGCAATTCTCCCTTTGGAAAATGAAATATCTAATAATGAAATTGAAAATTCAAGAAATATAGTCGAAGAGATTTCAAAATGATGTTAATAATATAATAGTTGTTGAGAGTAACACTATGTCTAAAGTTTCAACGAAAGATGCCGTGATTTCCTTTGAGATAGCTTTTAATTTTCTTCAACAATGTGATTTAGAAATAGATTGTAAAGGATTTAAAGCGTTTAAACCATTGAAAAAAGTGAAATTATTAGATAATACAACCAAATATTACATCTTATTTCAACAAATAATTTTCATTTCCGTATGTATTCATTTATTTATTTCTGCATTTAGTTTATTAATTTATCGCACCTCTCTATAACGAACACTAAGTAAATTTCTCTATAACGAATTTCCCTTTTGTCGCCCGTCTCCGATTCAATTTTTTATAATTAATTTCTCCCTAAAATGAACAAAAGCAGAAAAATGCATATAATGGACAGAGGGTTCGGTATAGAGAGCTTTGTATTATTAAAAAAAATTTGCCAATTTTGCCGCTGCGGACTTCTTGTCATAATAATAATAATAATAATAACGGATTTTTTGGCTGGAACCATGAATCACTGTGGCGAGGTTTGACTGTAATCATTTAGCATCTATTAAGTGTATAATAATAAAATTCAACAGGCGCGTGATTATTTGTAAGTAATAAACGATTGAATTTACCAGTTAAAAAATTCCACGTGACTAAATTAACCAGTTAAAGAATTTTTGCGCGGTGCCAGCCTCTACTTTGTTGATGGAGTCTTCAAATTTTTTAATAAAAGTAGAGAATTTATCCATTTTAAATCAATTGTGTGTATTACAGGAGGCCTGTTAAAAATCTCATGCAATTTCCATAAATTCAGAGCCCTACCACCACCATGAGTTTTCCATTGCATCAGAACACAGGATCTGGCCAACTTTCTTTTGAAAGGAATATTTTAAAACGTTTATTCTTATTGGGACAATAGTCGCCGATCATTTCTAGATATGTTCGCCCAATGAAGATGAAATATTTTATGGATGAGTTTATTCACCAATAACGTTTTACAGCATATTTTAAAGTTTATTATAAAACGCACACACGCCAAACTTTTCTTCAAAAAAGGTTATTAAAACAATTTCAAAATAGTATATATAATATATTTTCAAAAAAATAAAATTTATTCCTTTTTAACTGGCTAATTTCATTTTGAAGTCTAGCTAGCTTCGGACAGCAAGTCTAATATGCAGTATTAGTATATACTATTGGGATATGGTGAAATTTTTTCAATCATATTCTAAAAATAGATTTCTTTGAAAAAATTTTTACTTGAAACAATATTACTATGTTTATAGCGCAATTGAAAAGCCCCAAATGATTGATTTATAAACGGGATCGTCAATAGGGTTCTACATATGGGGAACGGAGAATTGAATGGCTCACGAAATTCATCAGATGATTTTATATTTACCGTAAAGTCTGGAAAGATAGCACCTCCCGAAAGATAGCACCCCCTACTTTAAAACAATTGAGCATCAATATAAAAAAAATGTTACACATATGTAAAAAGGGAATGCTATCTTTCCAGACTTTACGGTATCTAAAACATTCTCCTTCATTTTCACCATTATTTATTCTTAATTCTGTTTTTTCCCTTTCTTTACCTTCATTCAGTAATTCATTTTTGGTTGGAAAAATTTTTTAATAATTTTAATGTGTTTTTTTTTTGGAGTTTATATAAATATTTTGTAAATTTTAAAATTTAAAGTTCAATTCGTAAATAAATAAAAAGAAATGTCATTTGATCGTTCGAAATCGTTACAATCAACAGTAGACGATGATGGTGACTTTACAGCTTCAACATTTACAAGAAGAGGAAGGATTGATGATGATGATGATGATGATGATGATAACAACAGACGCCAAAATAGTAAAAATAATAACGAAGATTTAGATTTAGAATTACAAGAACGATCTGATAATATTAAACAGAGAGAATCAAATTGGATGTTTCATACAGTATCAATCTTAAAACTTAACAAAACAAATGCATTATTAATATTTTTCATACCAGCAGTGGTCTTGAAAGCGTTAAACGTTGATGAAACTATAACATTTTTCTTTAATTTTTTGGCAATTATACCTTTATCAAATATATTAACTATTGGAGTTGGTGATTTAGCTGCTAGATTTGGACCGGTAGGATTTGATTTATATTAAATTAAAACAAAACGAAAAGTGTGCGCAGAAAGAAGAAGGAAGCTGATCATGATTCTTTAAAGTTTACTTAAGTTCTTTAAATATCTATTATTTAATTAATTATAATTAGGCTTATGGAGCAGTATTTCATGCATTTTCAGGAAGTTTTGTTGAACTTGTGATTGAATCATATGCTTTAATGGATGAGCAATATGCAATAGTTCGTTCAGCAGTTTTAGGATCAATTCTTTGTAATATAACATTGGTATTAAA